AATTCATTCCCCTCGCAAATGTCAAAAGATGTATTCACTCAGTAGAAAAATGCGATTATCTCGATAACAAGTCACTATAGAGAAAAAAGTCAGTAAATATTTCTTGTAGCCAATTAAATTTTCAACAAAAAACTTTTATTGCCATTTTTCCGTAGAACCACTTGCTACCGAGATAATTGAAGAATTATCAACATGAAGAAAAAACTATTTACGACATTCATATTCTTCTCATGTCGTTTGAAAAATTATTCATCTAATGAAATAAATATCAACATGGAACAATCATCATGAGTGTGAATCCTCAAAACTCCTGGTTTCAATTTAAAAAATGGCCACCGCTGATTGCAATAATTATGCCTAATGAATGAACATGCGTGATCATCAATGAATCAGCCACCCGATGTTGACACCTCAAAATACTTCATTCAGTCATTCAAAAACTCCTTAAAATGTATATCAATACATATTATATACATCGATGACGTAATTACTCAATTCAATGAAATTTACACGCGTGTTTCGCTTAATTCATCTACTTCTATTCCTAGAGAATATTAAAAATCCCCGAATGACGTAAAATAAAAAAAGATAAATAGTGATGTCCTTACGCACTTACGCCCTAAAATTACAATATTACCAATGAAAGGATAACGCAATCACAGACAGCACAACCTAAATCATTGGAAAATCTCCCAACATCATACACGCGTGCTCACCGTTCATTATTTTTCCATCTACAGTGGAGACTCTCTGAGATATCAGCATCAGGGCTAAGAATTTCACAAATTTGAAGGATCGGGAACCCCCCACTCCTTCGCCGACGCTTGGACTGAGGAAGAAGGGGAACAGGGAGAGGGAGAATCTGTCTGTCTCACTCTCTCCGTTCCGGTAGCGGTTCTACTGAGCATTTCTGTCGCGCAGAGGAGTCCGCACATTACTTTCCCACATCAAGTTCAGGGGATGCGGTAGCGTCTCGAGACAAGTACATACCGACCGAGTTACCACGCGTCGAGAGCTAGTGCATCGTTAGTGATGGGGAGAATTCAACCTTCCCAACTGAAATCTTAGAGAAGCAAAATCATAGGGAGTATCCACTGAGACATCCCAAGATTTCAGCTTCGAGGCTAAGAATTCTAGGAATTTGAATGATTGGGAAGCCCCCACTCCTTCGCCGACGCGTGGACTGAGGAAGAAGGAGAACAGAGAGAGGGAGAATCTGTCTGTCTCACTCGCTCCGTTCCGATAGCGGTTCTACTGCGCATTTCTGTCGCGCAGAAGAGTCCGCACACTACTTTCCCACATCAAGCTCAGGGATGCGGTAGCGTCTCGAGACAAGTACATACCGACCGAGTTATCACGTGTCGAGAGTCTAGCGGATCGTTAGGAGTGGGGGGAATTCAATCTTCCCAACTGAAATCTTAGAGAAGCAAAATCATAGGGAGTATCCACTGTAAATGAAGAGTACGATTAATAAACCCTACGAGTAAGAAGTGCATTTCTCCAATCGATTATCTCATTCTCAAATAATTGTTATCAATTAAATATCGAATGACTTACCCTTGATACCTGGCTTAACTTCTAATAACCGATTCCCTCTTATTGATTTTTTTCGTCTAATTAATATTGCACACCCCGGCTCGGAATTACTGGATAACACCAGTGATAATCCGCCTCCTAAGGTAAACTTATACATTAGTTTATACGAGATTCTAGAGCAATCCAAGGATACCGCAATTTCATAATAATTCTTGTAATTTTTATCACGATTTTATCTCCCCATTCACCACATTTTTGTCCATATTCATTTACTTCATGAATGACAATTATTTAATTCATCAAATATTTTATTCAGCGCTGCACTTGGAATCGTTAATTAATAACAAACTGAGCGGTAGTTAATACCTAGTGTTATAATTAATTAATTAATCATCATTCATTAAATCACGTCTACTTATCATCCTAGATTGTTTATTATTATCGTTTAGCAATTGTTCATCACCTGATAAATAATCCTAGTTTTATCGAAAATTTTAATAATGACTTGATCTCATTTTAAACAGCCCCCTCGTACAAACGAACTGTCAATGCTAATTAATTCATTAATAATTAACTCACTTCGTACAATCTTCGATACTAATTTAAATCATTTATTCATCGGCCCCACTCCCAACTAATACTCAGGCAACAACTAAAATTCGTTAACTATTTATTGGTTATATCGTTGCCCTTCATATCTGGATCGGGTCTCACCATGTTCATTTCGTCCCCCATTAACGTTCCGCAAATTATTGAGAACGTGAAATAATTCATCTACGCCCCCCAGGACTACCACCTTCAAGCCGCGCCATATTTTTTCGCCCCTGAGCAAGTAACGTGTTTAGATTGTTAATATTTTTTTTTCATCACGCCTGCAGGTTTGTGTTTCCAACCCAATGGGGGAGAGAAAAACTCATTTTCTCTGTCGATAAGAGGCAGCGAAATACAACTTTACTGCGCAGGCGTGACGAAAACCCCCATATGCGCCGCGGGCGCAAAAACACAGGGCCGTGCATATCCGCCACTGCGCCCTAGCCGCACAATATTATATTTTTCCCTCTGCTATGATTTCATATTAGCGTAGGCCGCCGAAAGTAGTCAATGTCGAGTTGTTTTGTTTTTTTTTAAATTGTAATGTTTTTTCTTCGCTTTGGCTTAGTAGACCGGCCTTTTGGTAACAAAAAGAGGAACGAGCCGTCGATGTTGATAAAAAAAAATTTACGAGTAATTATTTTCCCCCGTTCAGTTTCTTCATTCACCTCAGGCAGTAAAATGCAGTAGAAAATATGAGTGGAGGTGTCCTAGACCGTCGTGACGTACTGTCTCACTTCGCCGTCGTCGTTCCAGGGGTACATTGATGACTCTTCACTCCTGGCACGACTGGGACCATGATGGGTCTCGTGGCTACGATGCCGCGGGACCTCTTCGCTATGCGATCGCTTGGTAATGTCGATTCCCTTGCGCGGTACCTCGAGGAGCGCCTTGGAACGCGTCAGCAGAGGGCGCTGACGGCCCTTGTGCTGGTCCTCGTTGGAAGCCCTGACGATGACTGTTGGTGGAGCCAGTCGAAGGGTCGTCTCCCTCGCGACGGCGCTCTCCGCCTTCTTCAGCCTTTTCTTCTCCTTCCGCGATTCCTTTCCGAGTTTTACGGGGATCGGTATCGGCTCGGCAATGAGCGAAGGCTTTCGTCTTTTCACCGGCGTCGAAGGCGGCTCCATTGGCGTCCAGATCGGTGGCTCCAGATCTTCTGGGGTTCGCGGTGGGGTCCTCTCCGGAGAGATCTCCTTCCACGCGCCCTGGTAAATCGGAAAGGGAGAGACTTGATTGAGGAACCTCCAACGGGCGCGCTCCTCTTCGTCGTCCTCCTCTTTCATAGTTGGCGCTCGAGGTGGCGGATGACACGTCGGCGTTATGTGGTAATCGTCGGCAGCAGTCGCCTCCTCGGGGACCTCGAGGATACTCAGCTCAGAGGCTGAACCGTCGTAGGGCGTCCACTTGATCTCCCGAATGTGCTTTGGCTCTCTCTTTTTTATTCCCACGTTCGGGAGGGGGGAGTAGCCCTCGTACGGTGCCCATTTTGCATCGCTTGTGATCGTGATGTCCGGAGAGATCAGGCGTTTCACGATCCGGCTGTCGACTCTGACAATCCCACGAGGATCTGGCTCCGGTGATAGACTTCTTCGGACACTGTACCTCTGACGCTCCTTCAGACTCTTGCTTTTCGGGTCGCCATACTTGAGTTCTTTCTTCTCCGGCTGGAGGGAGAAGTGCGTCATTCCCGCCCACTTCGATCGCTGCGCCTTCCGGTCTTCCGCTGGGCTGACGACCTTCTCCTTCGGCTCCCATTTCTTGATGGAGGATTTCTCAATAGCTCGTTGTTGAACCAGTCGCCCACGTTCTCGTTTTGGTAGAGGCGCTCGCACATCCTCACTCACTGTCTTCTTCAGTTCAGGCTTCTTCTCAGGCACCGGCAACGATTCCTCCGGAGTCAAAGATTTCGAGAACATGGCCTTGTTCTCCTGATCCTGAAATCTTTGACTTCGCTTCTCAGCAGGTGGCGATGGAGTCAGGAATTTGGGCTTTGGACACGTGCACCGAGGCTTCGGATTAGGCATGACTTCAGGCACCTGAAGGGTTTTCCCCATGGGCTGCTGGCCCTGTTCTCGCGCCATACCCGAGGCATCACTCAGGTGTTTTCTGAGGTCATGATGCTCTGAGCCCAAGGCATCAGGTCGAAGAGACCATTTGTCCGTTTCCGCGCTGTGATGCTTTTTGAGGTCCCCCCGACCCGGGTGACGCTTCTCCTCCGGAGTGAGATCATGACAGCTGCACTTGGTCTTTCGATGAAGATCAACATCGGTGCGGGACGTGTGCAGCTCCCACCGGTACTCAGTGTCTTCACCAGCATTCTGAAGTCCCCAGATAGCATCGTCAGTCGTATACAGATGACAGACAGCATCATCAGGAGCCAAGTAATTGCCCGACCATCTAGACGTCTCAACGCTTCTATATTTTCGCAAATCAGGATGGGGCTTTTTGTACGAGGGTGATGGATCTGGTGTTCTAACAGCTGTAGCATTCTCATCACAAGTGCAAACCTGCCCCGGAAAATTGCTCTCCAGTGGTACACCATCGACAGCATCAAGGTCCTCAATCGTATACGAAACAGCATCCTCACGTTTTTTACCACAATCTGGACATCGTCCCGACAAACCACCACTGGCACGACGCTGCTGCAATTGCATCGATCCAGGTGGTTCCAGTAGTGCTTTTTGGGATGACAAATGTTGTACTGCACCCGAGGTTGATGGTACTGGTGGCTGTTGGGCCGTTGGCGGCTTGTCATGCAGCAAGGGCGGCTCTTCCCTTTTCTGCGGTAGGTCAGAATGGCTCGATGTGGCATTCGTTCCTGGCGATCCGATCCAAGAGCTCTCTGTAGCTCTGTCAAGCTGCCTTGGTGGGTACCGCGACTCCGGAGACGACAAGGCTTCGTTCGAGGCCACTCCCAGTAAGACTGCCGCGTTCTCCGGTTCCGCAGGCCTGTGACAAATTGGAAAAATTTTTGGTTTTTAGGTTTGATAATTATGACATGTATATCACGAGGGGGCGTTACGTACAGGCCCTTTGGGTTTTATACGCCCATATTCAGTGAAGGACGTCTCCAGGGGGTGTCATATACCTTGAGCTCGGTGAATATCTCCGTGAAGAAGCCAGGCTCACTGTTGATCCTCAGCATCTTTGAGCTCAAACGGTTGACAATCAGCAGGCAACGATCCCAAAATTTGTCCTTACTGTCTTCCACGAGGAAGGGCTTCAGGGGGTAGCTGATCTCGTTGCCCATGTAGCTGTAGCTTAGGTATAAACAGGTGAGCACTGTTGCCTGAAGCTCACGCTCAGACGCTTCCTCACCGTCTACCAACTCACGGACAAGCATGTAGACGAAGACAACGTTCGCTGGGTTGATGAACGGTACGTCCTGGAAGACAAGATGGAGATTTTAGTGATGTGGTTGATTCGGATGAAAGGTAGGGGATTCAGCTTATTGTCAATAGGTGGTTTGACGAGGGTCAGGTAAGGATCAAACGAAAGGAGCACTTTAGCACAAGGGTCGAATGCTACAGTCTGACCCTGGTGAGGATCTCATGAGGACTAGATAAAGGTCGCGAGGGTCAAACGCAAGAACAGAATTCTCGGATGGAGGTCAGGTACTAAAATATAAATATTGTCTTTCGATCCTTATGACCCTCACATGACAGCTATTTAAGGACAGCATCTAATGAGGACTTGATAAGTGTTGCGAGAATCAAATGCAAAAGGAGCATAACCTTCGCATAAGAGTCGAATACCAAAATCGAAAGATTGAGTTTTGACCCTTCGGATGAAAGGTAGGGGATTCGACTGATTGTCAATAGTTGGTTTGACGAGGGTCAGGTAAGGATCAAACGAAAGGAGCATTTTAGCACAAGGGTCGAATGCTACAGTCGCACCCTGGTGAGGATCTCATGAGGACTAGATAAAGGTCACGAGGGTCAAACGCAAGAACAGAATTCTCGGATGGAGGTCAGATACTAAAATATAAATATTGTCTTTCGATCCTTTCGGCCACATAAGGGTCACAAGGGCCAAACTCAAGAGCAGCAAAACCGTTTCAAGAGGATCGAATATAAAAATCGGAGTATTGACATCTGACCCTTATGCTCCTCATATAACAGTCCCCTCACAAACATCTCACAAGGGCTACATAAGGGTCACAAGGGCCAAACTCAAGAACAGCAGGATCTTTGATGAGGATCGAATATAAAAATCGGAATATTAACATCTGATCCTTATGACCCTCATATAACAGCCTTCTAAAAACAGCATCGTTATTCGCCCACCTCATTAGCAGGCGGAAGTACGACTCAGAAACCCAATAAACTCTCTTCCATTTTTGTCATCCCCGTGTGGGCATCTGGTTGTTATTCACACCCTTATTTTCCTCTCCCACCCTCTCGCCACCACCTCTGCAACTCACTCGTTCAACCATTCCTCTTCAGCCCAGAAAAACAACAACAGTTGGCCCTTGGTGTCATTAGCGAATTGGAACGTGCGACCTGATTTACTCGCGCGACACTAGCGAATACGAGTGTTTACAACACCTCGGGGAATGGGAGGGAGTCGGGGGTGGCTGCAGAGGTGCATTGGCTCGGTTGAACGTCGTTGTCTACAATTTTCAGTATATGGAGACCTGGGTCACCATGCATACGCTGTGGAGTTTGTATATCGTGCGGGAGAGGCCTCGCAGTGACCCGAGAGTTGGCGCTAGATCGATGCCCCCGATATCGTATCCTCTTGTTGCTACAGTACTATAGACAAGCCCGGTTGACCTCTCTGTATATTTTGTTTTCTCGTGATGGTGGGAGGGGAAACATTGGAAAACGATTGCAAGTCAATTTGAGAATGAGCGGGGGAGGCGGACGTCTGATATCGAGCTTTTTGGGATGAATGATTTTTAGATAGACGTAGCCCAGGGGATAATATAGATGTTCAATATAGCGGTGGAAAAATGTCTTTGATTGTGATAATTCAGTACGGCTTTAAACGGGAAGGGTGGGGGTAGTGACACGATATGCACAAGTTTTGAAATTCGGAGATGCGGAGGAGGCCACAATAGCTCAATTGGCAGAGCACCTGTCACCACCAGTCATACCAACACCACCAGTCATACCGATAGAGATCATAGCAAAGCGCGTCGTTGAACGACTTTTTTGTATAAATTCACTCTAGATAAGTAATCTTTTGTTTATTGGAAAAATGTTAAACCCATCAGTTTATTGTATTTGGCTACTATGACAATAAACACCTTTAACCCTAGTCTGGTCACCTGACGGGAAAAAGCGACTTTACTCACCTTCGCGGGAGAGTGGCGCCATGTTATTTAGGCTCCAGCGTTGCCGAATCCACTCTATACTTCCCGGGGGCGTTTAGCGAGTTCCCAGCAACGTCGCGCAACAGGCAATTTCATTTAACACGGGAAAAAATTGTTCACCTGTTGGAAATAATTTTTTTTCTCCCAGAATTAAGGATAGAATATTGAAAAAAAATACTAGAATTTTTCAGATACTTCAATTAACGAATTCAATTTTTCTCAAATTTTTCCGGTCAACCAGTCGATGGCAAGGTGAATAAAACGACGTGTTGCGGCAATTCCCTCGCATGGTGACCAGTCTAGGGTTAAAAAAAAAAGGCAGAGCACCTGTCCTTCTATGTTCTATAGGAGTGCGAATGCGGTACAGTGTAGAATCCACAGCCTCATGCATAGGGTTGGATAGAATGCCGAACTGAGACTCGAAAAGAGGACGTAAAAGGTCGTAAAGGCGCGCAGCGCCACGAAAATGGGGTTTTTCAGGTCCCGCGACACGAAAAATAACGATTAAAACAAATTTGTTTTCAAGGGTTAGAGAGACGTATATTCATAATTTCTCCAGCAATTTCTATGACAAAACTGACGATAAAAACAGTGAACCAATGTAAAAGCTTATACTCCGTGTTGTTTTACGTTTAATTAACAAAATGTCTACAAATTGCATAAATTTCATAAATGTCCCTAGAAGGGGGGATGGCCGTCGTAAGGAATGCGTAAAATGCGCGTAAAATGTCTACAAATTGCATAAATTTCATAAATGTCCCTAGAAGGTGGGATGGCCGTCGTAAGGAATGCGTAAAATGCGCGTAAAATGTCTACAAATTGCATAAATTTCATAAATGTCCCTAGACATTATGAAACTGACATTTTGTTAAACTGACGATAAAAACAGTGAACCAATGTAAAAGCTTATACTCCGTGTTGTTTTATGTTTAATTAACGACTGCATGTTTAATCGCTAATGAGGTGCGAGAGCGAATATTTACACGACTCGTTAGACCGTTTTCTCTCTGAGTTTATTATTCCTCGAGCCGTTCGACGACATATAGTGCACTAGCATAGATTTCCATTTGGATTAAAAATGTATGAAATTATTCAATTAATTTGCTAATTAATGAAGGGATTAATTGATCAATCTCTCGATGCCAATGTTCAATGTTGCTAATTAAAATGTGTACGCTCAGTTGGTTGATCAAATTGAATTCATTTTGCTGGTGAAATATGGTATTGAAAAATTCGCAATGTGATTCGAGGAGTCGAGTTGCTCGGTCGAGGTGAAAGACAATGGGAGAAGGTGCCAGAGTCATTCCAATCGATATTTTCGACCGAGGGTGAGCGAACTATTGGCGTGGGCTGTTGTCGGATACTAATAATTCATTGAGTAACTACCCCCTCGGTAACAAATCTTATTTAATTATTTTGAGGTATAAATGAATGTTGAATTGAATGGGAGAGTTATGTGAAATTACCCGGGGGACAATTGAAGGAATTTCCGGATCCGTCGAGCACTGGGGGTGAGGTGACTCATTCAATCGAACTTTCTATTTTAAGGCGATGTGGAAGCCCCGAGTGAGGTTAGAGAAACAAAGCTTTTGCTTTTGTTTTTTTGCTTCCGCATGGAAGCATTGTAATCGTTCCAATTTAAGTTTATGATTCAATATTATGATTCAAAAAGTCCGAAAATGCAATTTTTAAACCGTGTCCGTTTGTAATTGTGTGATAAAGTTTTTCTTCAATTGTTCGCTAATGAACGAATGGAATTTAATTTTTTTTTCAATTGTAGGTATTGTTGAGCCCTATCCATCGCCATTGATTAAAATTTAATTCATCGATTAATTTTTCTAATTTTTGAATTTTTCGAACATTGGTTGTCCCACGATAACTAAAAAAATGTTCTGAATTGATTGAATGATGGCTGAAAAAATTTGTTTGGATGTCCTTTTGACCGAGTTCGAAGATGAAGGCAACAGCAATAATCGTTATTGTGATTTATTTGAAAATTTGCAAAAATTTTGTATTTTTTGAAAATCAGAATTCTGGCGATATCTTTGAATATCATGCGTCAAATGAATTCAGTCACAGCTTAAAATGTTTGTTTTAATGCCATTAAGTCGAAGTTAATAGATGAATGATAGCTATATTGGTTGATTTGATTTTTATGATGATTGTTGAATTTCCCTGAAAATGATGCTTTTATGAGCTTTCTGATGGTTTCGTCAAATGTGATGTTTCAAATTCATTCAAGTATGTGTAAATAAAATTTTTCTATCAACATTTTATCGAAGGGCTGAGGGGAGAAATAGAACGGTAAAAAAGACAATTGGTTGTATAGAAAAAAGGAATAATAAGACTTATAATGGTGATAACCCTCAACTAAGTTGAAAATCCGACAAAATCAGGTAAAAGGAAATCTTATTCAATTTAGTAAAATGAAATAAACAATGAATTATACATGATAGAAGGAAGTGATGTGCAAAATAATCATTTGGAAGTATATTGCCAATTTATTAGCAAAAATAACTACTATATACAATACAAGAGCTTTTTGCCACTTGTTTTGATACGAAAGTGTCTCGTTATTGAGTACTTTTAAGCGAAAATATCAAAACATCCTCCTTGTTGGCAGGATCTGTTTGCTAAAAATTATCTCGACATTTTTCCCCGAACCGAGTTTTCCGCGAGATAAATTCCGAAATAGATATCGATTGAAATTCCGAAATAGCGTCTTTCATAAATTCAGATGATTGACATTCCAACAGAAAACCAGTAAATGAATATCTATAAGTGACGTGACTATTGTTGCCTCCCCCGGCGCTACTTCAAATTCAGGATGATGTGGTAAATAGCGAGACGCAGGGGGCTTCGGAAACGTGCGCCACGTGACAATTGACGCGGAATTTATCGTAATCCGAGTCACACGAGTTGCTAATGCGGTTACATTTCGATATAAATAAAACTAATGCGAAACGAAAGATCCATTTGATCTTTAAATTTCATTACAAGTTGAATTTATTCTGGGGAAATCATGAAGTCATTGAAAGCAAATTAGACGGTGATAAAGAAAATAATCA